AGCAAACCACCATGGTACATATATACCTATGTAACAAACCTTCACAGTCTGCACATGCACCTCAGAACTTAAAGTATAGTAATAATTTAAATGTTTGATTAAATTTATCAACCATTAGACAAATCAGTATTTTCTAAGTTAATAAAAAAATTAATAAATAAAAATGAAACTGAATTTTCTATACATTTACTCATGACTAGGGGCATTCTTTCTTAGAACAAAAAAAAACAAATATATTTTTACAGGAGAAAGGTAACTTTAAGGTCTTTGAAACACATTCATAAATACTTTTTTTGTCCTTATTCTTCAAAACATTTAAACTGATCAAATTTGGAAGGAAAATATATAAGTGGCAAATAAATTTTAAAGGAGTACCTCCTCGAATGGGCCCATTCTTTCATAGGAGTAAGTAAAATCTTTCTTGTCATCCTTAATGCCAGAAAGCCTCAAAGGCAAATGTTTTGCTGACCTCCAAGGATGGCTGAAGCCAACGCTCAGCAGTAGCAGTAGGCACCAAAACAAGCTTCAGGGTTGCTGAATGCTGAAGCATGCCATCTTTCTGCCGACAGTAATCTCCCACACTTTTCTCATCCCTTATGCCATAAATCTGCCTCTATCACATGCTGGGCTAACTCCTGCTCGTTCTTCCAAACTGCTGTATCCTAGAAGTGTCTCCAGGCCCCAGAATGACAGGTGTCCCCTTAGGTCTCCAGGCCCCTGACTTCTCCCAGCATAGCACCTATTAAACACTGGGGAACTGTCTATTTTTCTCTTTCTTCTCACATGATAATCTCTGACAGGAGAGACCCTGTTTTTCTTAGTCACATTTATACCCCCAATCTCTAGATAGGTGTATAGAGGAAAACTCAGTAAATGTCTGCTGGATGACTGATTTAAACATTGTAGCCCATCCTTCATGACATACTAATACCAACCATACTATGTAGACGTCTCCTACCTGCTGACATTTTCTCTTTCCCCACTTGTTTTCTATTTAAAAAATAAAACTAAGTGTAAGCTCTGCTCATGGAGAGTTACAAGTTCAAATCAAACACGTGAGCTCTGACTCAATCTGCACCATCTGCCCATTCATCTGCAGATCATCTGATTTTCTCTGGGATTTTTGTAGCACAAAAAATGCATTATACAGACCAGAAATAACCTAGAAATTGTAGCGGGAGCCCTTTGTGGGTCAGGATATATTTTTTAACATTTAAGGAACATTGTCATCCAATAGGAGACTGACTACTCCAAATTGAAATTCTGTTTCATTCAAGATGATAACTTTCCTTCTCAGGCTCACCCCTAACAAAGCTCCAGAATAAAATGTTCCAGGATGACTGAATGCTCATTCTTAAGTAAATTGCTTGTAACAAACCCATGGCTGCCTGATAATACAAATACAGTGTACATTTGTCTTTCACAGTTCTTTGTGTAGAATGTCAGGGAGCTAGACTACATTTGACAGACTTGTTTATATAGTGCCATCACTGAAAATAAGCACTTCATCATAAATCCATTAATCAAAACTAAACCAATGATCTTCCTTTTCTCAAAAAGAATATATTCATTTTCCCAACGCATTACAATAAGTTTGATGAATATTAAATTCACTATGACAGTGATTCTCAGAAAGAGCATTTCTAGTTTTTAAAGTATTTACCTAGACTTTCAATATGATAATCCAACACACTTTGAAAGGAGCTGGCAAGAGGACTGCAACAATCCAGTGTGCCTTCCAATCAATAACTAATCCATCACCACCAACTGGCTTTTTCAGAAGGCAGAACCAGCTCTGCTGCCCAGGCTAGAGTGCAGTGGTGTGACCATGGCTCATTGCAGCCTTGACTTCTCAGGCTCAAGCCATCCTCCCACCTCAGCCTCCTAAGTTTCTGGAACTACACCTGGTTATGTTTTTAATTATTTGTAGAGATGGGGGTCTCACTATGTTGCCCAAGCTAATCTTGAACTCTTGGGCTCAAGTGATCCTCCCACCTTGGCCTCCCAAAGTGCTGAGATTTTAGGCTTGAGCCACCACACTCAGGCTATCAATGACTTTTAACAAGCACAACAGAAGATAGTTTATCATGACATCTGCGACTATTCCTTGTAGCAGCACTTCTCATTTGGGAATGTCTGGAGACATCTTGGTTACTGTATCCTTGAAGAGCAGTGCTACTGGCATCTAGTGGGTAGAAGCCAGGGATGCCGCTAAACATCCTACAATACAGAAGACAGCCCCCTGCCACCACAAAGAATTACCTGGCCCGAATTTCAGTAGTGTTGGTGATTGAGAAGTCCTACCTTATAGGTTAACAGATATAATTTCTAGATCTATGCCATTCAATGCAGGCACCAACCATATATGGCTATCAAACCCTTAAAATGTCAGTTCGCATTGAGATGCACTCTAAGTGAAAAATACACGCCAGGTTTCAGACTTAGTGTGAAAAAAGGATGTAGGATACCTTAATATTTTAGAATGAAATTTTATATTCAAATAATAGGTTGGATATGAGGATTAAATAAAACATGTTATTAAAATTAATTTCGTCTCTTACTTTATACTATTTTAATGTATACTAGAAAATGTAAAATACATATGTGGCTGCTCTGCCTTTCCTTTTGGACAACACTGGGCTGGGGGTTCCTCCTGTTTCCTTGATGATGTGCTGCTCTATCCATGTAACCCACATTCTGATAAGCAGTTAATCTAAAAGTACATTCAAATTCAAAAAGCACCTATTTGTTTTATTCATATAAGGTACATAAAAGTGTCAAGTTATGTAATCAGATCAAAGATATATGAAGTACAAATTAAAGTTTCCCTATTTCTGTTGATTATAAAACCAAGCTGGATGAAGCAAATGGAGCACGGAGATGCATTTTCCTTTATGCCCAAATGGTTAGGAATTGACCCCTTAGCAAACTGTCCAAGTGGACAAATTCAAAAACTAGAAGGCACAGAAACAGGGCTTTCAACAGCAAGGAAATATTCTATTTCCAAGGAGAGTCAAGCACAGTATTTTGCTCATTAAGAAGAATAAAACTGAAAAGAGCATTAAAATTAGACAAATCTGTTAAACCGACTCTTCATTAGACTAGCAACCCTTCTAAGCACAGCACAACATGGACAGGGCTGGATGATAGAGAAAAGGCCACAGGTACTGTCTTAAGGATCCACTTTAAAAGGCAAGACAGACAATTGAAAATATTACATATTGAAACATGAGAACGCACAGGTATATTCCAAATGAGAGTTCACAGTCGAAATCAGAATCAGTGAGGTGCCGTACTTGGGCATGGAAATACAAGTAGAACTTAAACCAACAAAAAAAGCATGTTATGCAAGACACAGAAGTGGGGAGCAGAGTGAGCTAGTGCTCAGAGCTGAAATAAGTATGATACTTGTGACTGAGACAGTCATATGAGCTGACTTGTCAAGGTTTTGCATTTATGTTGGGGAGGGTGTAGCAACTGGGCAAACTTCTTTGTGATGGGCCTTAACAACCAGGATGGGAACAGAGAACTTTATCCCACAGGCAACCGGGAGCCAGGGAATGGTATGGAAAGAGAGAGAAGTATAAGGAGAACATTTTAGACATGTACATGAGGTGGATCAGAAAGAGAATAAATGGCCAGACAACATGTAATTAACCTAAATGTATAATCATGAACCACCAGGGCGGTAGTACTGTGTCGAGTAGACAGCATGCCAAGTGAACATCAGAAATAGGAAATAAAGATGACTCCAATTTTGAGTTTGAGTAACTAGGGAGGAAGGTACATAGATATAACAATGAATGCCATGGAGGCATTGACTTTGGGATGATTGATTGTCGGCTATCAAGGCTGGGATGAGGGTTCCAAGAATAGAGCTATAAATATAAGGGTCAAACTAAGAGCTATACCATGCTGCTTATTATTTTATAGGATATTAATAGCAGTCTGTGGGCTACTCGGGAGGTACATTCATCTCCACTCTACCAAGAGGTCAAGGTTGCTCAGCCATTGCATGTTGAAGCTGGACCAAGAACTCCCAGAGTTCTATCTTCTAGGATTGCTTTCATCCCAATGTGCCACACTTTTGTCCTCAAACTATGCAGACTCTTACCCAATGAGTGTGGTCAAAGCCACAAATAGGAATTCTGAGAGAGAGAATCAGCTAAGTTGGGCAAGTCTTGAATTAACAGAAAATCCTGTTTTCTCACCTAGATCCCATGCACTGGGTCCAGTTAAAACCATCCATGATGTTCTTAGTTTGTGCACCCTTCCTGCCTCTTGGCATCATTGTCCACTTGTCTATACCCTGGGTTCTCAAATTCTATTACCTGAGAATCTTGGCAAGGTGTGATAATACCCACTGAGGAGTAATAACCCATATAAGCTTAAAAGGCCACCCACTTTGGAGGTATTTGCATTTTAACAAGGGCCTCTTGAAGACACAGTCCTTCAAAAGCCTAGAAGCATAACCATGATTCAGTGATTCAGATGGTGGAGTTGGGGGAATATTTCTTCATGATAATCTTCAAATCTTGCAGTCAACATATGCATAGGGCCTGCCTTATCATAGGGATAAGATGTAGATTTCTCCTCCCTGTACTCCCAATTCTATTTCCTTGGAATACCTTCCAAATGTGATTAAGTCATCACTAAAACCAGTATTTACACCTGAAAGGGAAAAAAATGTTTTCACCAAAGTGCTATGTCACCTCCATGAAAGAAAATACAAAATTTTCCCCAACTCATCTGTAGGAGGATAAACGAATATCAAAGAAGTATGCTGAATGATGATCAATAAGGGGCTAAAATCTCTGCTCACAAGGAGTTATCACAGTGAATTTGGTATATGGAAAACCAAAGCTCTTCCACACTCATTCTAACTTCAGTTTTAAGGGAATTCTGAGTTTGTTGCCATGATATGTAAGCCTCCCCTTAACTCCACTGGCAAATGCTTTGATATAGAAAATAATGCCAGACAATGAGTTTCACATGCTTACCTTGAACTTGAATAAGTGGTGATTTCCCCTCTGGTTTCTGAAATTAGGTGTGTCACATGCTTTAACACAATTGGCTTGTCCTAAACACCATAACAATAACTCCATCTGCCTGCAGATATAAAAGAGACTACATCATCCATCTAGAATTCATCAACAACGAAACACCAAGCAAAGGTATGGTCAGCATTTTAATATTAAGTATGAAAATATGTACAACTATTATGTACCAATAAAATATACTTTTAAGAAAGAAAAATAAAGTATGTTGGCAATGAGAATACCATGATGCCTAACAGTTATTAAGTACCAAAATGGTAATGGATAACGGTGTTTAAATATTGTTATTAAACCATTCCCTAATTTTCAAAAACATTGAGGCCAATCTTAAAGGCCATTTATTTCACCAGCCAATCTAGTTATAATGAGTATAGTAGGAAGTATACCATTCTTCGAAAAAGAAGAAAAGACTGATTAAAATCTCAGATAATCAAACAAAATAACTTGATTTCTAAGTGTTGTTAGAAATGTTGGACAATCCAACATTTCTGAGTAGGACTCAAGTTTTCACATGAAATGTAAACTCAGCATTTCTACCATTTTCTTCTTGGAAATACAGAAGCAATAAAGGAGAAGAAAAAGATTTTCTTTAATTCATTTTTAGTAAAACAAGAAGAAAGTTAAAACCCCAGACCTCAAAGTGTCAAAATGACTACAAATATCAGTGGAGATTGATCAGGGTGTGTTGCAGAGGAGACAGAGATAAACAAACACCATGGGGATCCCACAGCAGCTGGAGATTTGGCAAAGAGCAGCAGAAGCTCGCTTCCCAAATACAAGGGGCGCAGCCAGAGGCACACAACTTTAATCATGTGTTTGCAAGAATAGAAGTCAGGGTGAAGCAGCTGCAGTGGAAGCCTCCTGCACCCAAGTAGGTTCGAGAAGCAGAAAAAATGAATTAAATGAATTATATTTGCAAGCATTGTTCTGTCTCTATGGTACCCAGAAAAGGAGAAATTTAAGTTGTTTGCAAAGAAATTTGAAAAACTAGCCCTTGTTGTCTTAGAAAAAAAAAATTATACATGACCAGGTGTGGTGGCTCACGCCTGTAATCCCAGCACTTTGCGAGGCTGAGGTGGGCAGATCACCAGAGGTCAGGAGTTCAAGACCAACCTGGCCAACATAGTGAAACCCTGTCTATACTAAAAATACAATAATTAGCCGGGTGTGATGGTGGGTGCATGTAATACCAGCTACTTGGGAGGCTGAGGCAGAAGGATCACTTGAATCCAGGAAGTGGAATTTGCAGTGAGCAGAGATCGCACCACTGCACTCCAGCCCAGGGGACAGAGTGAGACTCTGTCTCAAATTAAAAAAAAAAAAGAAAAGAAAAAAGAAATTTATATGTAAAACCCTGGGTCAAAGGAAAAAGCCAGCTCTCTTTGTATATGGTCATGCCTTTTTTACACACACACACACACACACACACACAGAATCCCAGAAATAAAACATAAATTGGTCAGACACGGTGGCTCAAGCCTGTAATCCCAGCACTTCAGCAGGTTAACGTGAGTGGATTACATGAGGTCAGGAGTTCGAGACCAGCCTGGCTAACATGGTGAAACCCCATCTCTAGTAAAAATTACAAAAATCATCCAGGTGTGGTGGTGGGTGCCTGTAGTCCTAGTTACTTGAAAAGCTGAGGCAGAAGAATCCCTTGATCCCAGGAGGTGGGGGGTGCAGTGAGTCTAGACTGTACCATTGCACTCCAACCTGCGTGACAGAGTGAGACTCTGTCTCAAAAAAAAAATATATATATATATATATTCCAAGGACCAGTAAGCATATGAAAATTGTTGAACCTCATTAGTCATCAGGAAAATGCAAAATAAAACCACAACGTGATACCACCATATACCCACCAGATGACAAAAATTGAAGACTGACAATACCAAATGATGTTGAGGAACTGGAGCAACTCGAATCTCACGCATGCGTGCTGATGAGAGTGTAAAATGGTCCAACTAGTTTGGAAAAAAGTATGAGTTTCTTAAAAAGCTAAAAACCATGACCCATTGTATTAGGGTGTTCTTGCATTGCTATGAAAAAATACCTGCAACTGGGCAATTTATAAGAAAAGAAGTTTAGTTGGCTCACAGCTCTGCAGGCTGTACAGGAAGCATGGCTCCAGCATCTGCTTCTGGGGAGGCCTCAGGGGGCTTTAACTCACAGTGGAAAGTAAAGCAGGAGCATGCACAACACATGGCCAGAGCAGGAGCATAGGGGACGGGGGGCCGCAAGTGCCACACACTCATAACCAACCAGATCCAGTGAAAACTCACTCACTATCATGAAGACAGCACCAAGATATGGAGGATTCGCCCCCATGATCCAAACACCTCCCACCAGGTCCCACTTCCAGCACTGAGGATTACAAATCGGTATGACATCTGGGCAGGACACATATCCAAACTGTATCATCCAGCAGTTCCACTCATAGGTATTTGCTCCATCCCATGCCATAGAAAAGGGAAAACAAAACATAAGGGACCACAAGAAAAAGCTGTGCAAGAGTGTTCATAACAGCTTTATTCATAAGAGCCAAAACCTGCAAACAACCCAGGTATTGATTAATAGGAACACAGAGAAACCAAACATAGTATAGTCATGTAATGGAATAGCACTCACCAGTAAAAAGCAACAACATGGAGAAGTCGCAAAAATTATGCTTAGTGAACAAAAGAAGGTGGCCACAAAAAGAGTGCATACCAAAGTTCTAGAACAAATAACTAAATCTGTGGTGGTAAAAAGGTTAGAACAGTGGTAGGCTCTGAGGGAGTGAGCATGGGGATTAACTGACAAGAGGTATGAGGAAACTTCTGGGGTGATTTAATATTCTGTGTTTTGATAAGCATATGCTTTTGTCCAGACCCAGCGAACATTCATTTAAGATTTGTGCATTTCATTGCATGTGAAATTTAGCTGAAAATCAAAAATGCTGTAAATACTAAACTTTACTTCATGATGTGCATGCTGAAGTACTTGGTGGGATGTACACCGGTATCTCCAATTTACTTCGAAACACATCAGAAACTAAGATGGATTGGTGTACAGAGAGCCGAATAGATGGATAGATACAGGTAGTGTGTAATGAGTGTTCACTGTAAAATTCTTTCAACATTTCCATACGCTTAAGAAAATGTATAATAAAATGTTGGAAGAATTCCGAAGAAATTAAAACAATAATGAAGGAAGGCTAGCCCTGTATGTAACATGCTGAAACACAAATAAAACTTCAATATTTAACTTAAGTAGAAAGAAAGATCAATGGAACGTAGTATAAAATTCAGAAATAGAACCTCCCATATGGAAATTTAGTGTATGTTGTAAGTGGCAAACAAGGTCAGAAGAGAAGAACGGGATTATGTAATAGTTGTGAGAGAAATGAGCTGCCTCTGGAAGAATATATTTGGTTCTATGCCTCACACCTTATGCCACGATAAGTTCCCAATTGATCAAATATTTACATATATATAAATATGTAGAATTCAGTGATAAATTAAAGAAACCATGGGATCATTCCTCTGTTAATATTAAGGGGGAAAAGTCCTTTCAACTATGACCCAAATGCCAGACATGATAACAGACTGATGAATTCAACCACAAAAACGTCAGAACTCTTCAAACAAAACCACAGTAAGCAAACTCAAAAGACAGAAGGCAAACTGGGGGAAGATTGTGAGCTCTCATAAAGTTAATTTCTATAATAAATAAGTAGCTTATAGCTATAATGCCAGCAACCCAATAGAAAAAAAAGGAAAACAATATGAACAAATAATTCAACAGAAGACAAATGGTTTTTAGTGCCATACAAATATCCTCAACTACAAACATAATAATGGAAAAAATGAATCACCATGTAATTTTAACTTGCATTTCTATCAGCAGAAAAAAAGAAAGCTGCAGTGTATAATTCACTTTAAAAAGGAGAGAAAGAAAACACACATACACATATACACAACACATAAAAATGTGCTCATAGATATTTTTAAAAGCTTCAGAACATGTATTGCTTGTTCAGGGTGACAGGGAGGTTTTTTAACAGAATATTCTTTTATACTTTTAAATTTTGAAGCATGTAAATGAAATACCTAATTTTAAAAATTAGATTTAAGAAATCGAGAATAATTACATTGTAAACGAAAGCAACAGCGTGGGAAGCAGCCCAAGCTCCAGCCCAACTCTGCTACTCATTAACTGGGTGAACTTGGGCCAGTCTCTTATTGACTATTCTGGCTGGAGAGAATCTCAGAAATATTCTCATTCCACACTTGTTTTATGAAATAGGAAACAGAAGCACAGAATAAATTAAGTGACTTAGCCAATGTCACATGCAGTCAGTTTACGGCAGAGCCAACAAAAGCTGTCGATGTGTCAATTTCTTCTTAGATAAGACGGGAGTACTGCCATTAAGAAAAGGCAAGCTGCAGAGATGGGTAGAAAATATTTGCAAATCACAAAACTGACAAAGGACTTATATCTAGAATGCATATCTTTAACTCTCAAAACCCAACAATAGGAACAAAAATAAATACCTAAAGATGCCTAGGATCATTAACCATCAGGGATATTCAGTTTCCTAAAAAGCACAGTGAGATGGCACTGTGCATCTATTAGAATGGCTAAAACTTTAATTTAAAAAACATGACAATACCAGATTGGAAAGGATATTGAGCAACTAGAAATCTCATGCATTACTGGTATACAAAATGCAAAACGGCACAACCACTTTAGAAAACAGTTTGGCAGTTTCTTATAAAGTTGAACATACGCTTAACCAATACCACATACTCAGCAGTACCACTCCTAGGTATTTATCCAAGATAAATCAAAAAGGACATTTACAGAAAAACCTGTACATAAATGTTTACAGCAGGTTTAGTCTCCCAAAGCTAGAAGACACCCAATTGTTCATCAATTATAGCACATCGATGCAATGGACTATTATGCATCCATACAATGGAACATTAAGCAGTCATCAAAAGGAACAAATGATTGATACATGCATCAAATTAAGTGGCTCTCAAGGGCACAATGCTGAGTGAAAGCAACCAACCTCAAAAACCTCCATAGTGCATGCTTCCACGTATATGACGTTCTGGGGAAAGGCAGAATTGAAGGAATGAAAAACAGATCAGAGGTTGCTAAGGACTGGGGCAGGGAGAGAGGCTGACTAAAAAGCAGGAGCATAAGGAAATTTTAGGAGATGTTGTAACTGCTCTGTGTCATCACTGTGGTGTTGGATATATTAATCTATGCATTTTTTAAACCCACAGAATTGTATATCACCAAAAGTTGATTTTACATTATGTAAATTTAAAAATAAATTGTTCCAGCTTTCTTGAGGTATAATTGACAAATAAAAAGTGTATGTATTTAAGGTATACAATGTGATGTTTTGATATACATTATGAAACGTTTGCCACCATAAAGCTAATTAACATATCCATCACCTTGAAGAGTGAAGTCATCAATCAAAGATCTCTGTGATCCTTTCCAGTTCTAGAAACATAAAGATTCTTTCACTTTAAAAAAAAAAAAAGTAATTAATTCCCAAGGACTAGAACAGGTTTATATTACATGTGGCACAAAAAATCTTATAATTTTTCTTTAAGAAAGATAAACCTAAATAACTATGAAATTCATAATGCAATGACAATGTGGAGAAACAGAAAACCATGAAAAGAGTGTAAAAATAATGTCTTGGAATTTCATCTCCTTAACAATTCAGCTAGGTTTCAGGCATTCTAATTTTTCTCCCATTTGTAAGTACTAAATTAATGGAAAAATAAGTGTATTTTTCTGTATTTCTGTACCTCACTGTTTAAGTTTTGCTGATCACACTTTAAACTTCCTTTTCATTTAAAGGTGAAATCATTGATAAACACCATCTCTATGAATCATTTTTCCTCCCTCAAAGCTTGTTCTTGTGACATCTGGACTGTCTAGAAAGACATGATCCTTCAAATAATTCCTTATTTACTTACCATCTCTTCTGTTCCAAAACCTTTGAGTAAAATATCTCTCATGTAGTTTTTTTTTTTACCTTTTTAGGGTGATGTACTCCTTTGAGAATATGATGCAAGCTATAACTCTATTTGAAAAGGTTTAAACAAAAACAAGACCACAAATACTGGCTTAGTCCATCTGTGCTTCTATAACAGCATACCTGAGACTAGGTAATTTATAAATAATACAAGTTTATTTCTTATGGTTCTGGAGGCTGGGGAGTCCAAGATCAAGGCACCAATAGGTTCAGCATCTGGTAAGGGCTGCTCTCTGCTTCCAAGATGGTGCCTTGTTGCTGTACCCTTTGGAGGGGAGGTTCACTGTGTCCTTACATGTCAGAAAGGATGGAAGAGCAAAACAGTGCTTCTTCAACCTTGAGCCCTTTAAAAGGGTGCTAATCTTGTCCGTGAGGGTGAAGCCCTCGTGACTTCCTTCCCAAAAGCCACCCCTCTTAATACCATGTATTGGGGATTAAGTTTCAACTTAAATTTTAAAGGGGACACCTTCATTAAACCATGGCAATATCCCTACACACACAATTCTGGTGGCAATGTCAGAGGTTCAAGGGCTTTATGAGTCCTGTGGATTTCAGGATTCCAGGGACAAAGGACAAAGAGCACAGCTCCTGAGGGAAACCCTAGGTTCAAACCCTTGCTCTGCTATTTAACAGCAGTATAACCTTGGGCATGTATTTATCCTTTCTCTGCCTTTCTTTGCTCATCCACAAAGTCCAAATAATAGTACTGCTAGGGGAGGGATGTAGTGGCTCACACCTGTAATCCCAGTACTTTGGGAGGCTGAGATGGGAGGATCCCTGAGACCAGGAGTTTCAGATCAGCATGGGCCACATAGCCAGACCCATGTCCCCAAGAACATTTTTAAAAATTAGCTGGCTGTGGTTATGCATGCCTGTAGTCACAGCTACTTGGGAGGCTGAGGCAGGAGGATAGCTTGAGCCCGGGAGTTTGAGGCTGCAGTTAGCCATGATCACACCACTATACTCCAGCCTGGGTAAAAGAGCAAGATCCTGACTCTTAAAGAAAAAGTGCTATTAGGATGTAACCATGTCTTGTTACTGGAAAGCCTCAAAAAATATCACCTAGAAGGTGAAAGAAGAATTGACTAATGCCATTTTCCATGGCTTCTAAGTCAGCCTCCTTAGAAATTTGGGTTCTATGGCATATCATCAAAGTGTCATCTGCAATCCACTGAAGTTAACTGAAGTGCCTCCTGGTGGGAGATCCAGAAATGCAATGTTATCAAAGCAAATTATGTGCAATTTTATAGACTTTCATTTTCTAATGTATGACTAAGGGCTACAACTAGTAATTGATTGAGTTATTAAGAGTTACCAAACTAAAATTAGCACATTACTTAATTTTATGGAAGACTCTAATTCAGTTTTCTACTCAGACTCTGCTGCCAAACATCCCATGGCAATATCACAAGATACTTCCATCTCATGCCTACAGATACTTGGTATCTCCTAGACTATAGGAAGGATGCTTGTTATCACAGCATCATCAGCATTGCCTTGACTGTGGGATGGTTTTAATTGTTGTTACTCTCAACTTTGATTATTTATATTTTATAACTGGCTTCATCATTATCAATTTTGTTTACTGAGAGTCATTCAATGGACCTGAGGACAATATAATCAATCATATTTTGGCCTATAATTTTCCAGTGATTTGGTTTTAAGTTGTATTTATATACCATGGTTCCAATGGGAATCATTCAAATTCTGATGGCTGTAGCAGACATGCACATAATCCCCAAAAATATTCTCACAATTGGCACCCAGTGATTAGTTTTTAGGGATATGGAGTAGGGTTGCCAGTTGGTTTGCTTACTACTGGAAAGTAAGAGTTGGTAGTAGAGATGAGAGAATGAATACCGTCTTTTCTTTCTGTCAAAGTAGACCATAGTGAAACATGCATGCATACACACACACACAACTAAGAATCACTAGGTAGCTAAATTTGAGATTAGATATCAATACTTCTAACTTGCCAGATCCTGAAGAAGTGAGGAAACTTTTCTGAACTTATCTAGGAAATCCAGACATCTACCTGGCCTCCTATAGAGACAAACGCTTTTTGTAAAGAGTAATTTGGTGTTTAACGTTGTGTTTAACATTGGGCTTTGGGAGCCCTAGGGTCTCTGTCACAACTACTCCCCTCTGCTGTGGTCATGTGAAAGCAGACATGGACAGTACAAAACAACTGGTATGACTATGTTCTAATACAGTTTTATTTACGGAAATAAGTAACAGCCCTACTGTCTGTTAGTTTGCTGAACTCTGCCATACACCATTGTGAAAATAACATGGCAAAATGCTGGTGATGATATTGTTGCTATCATCATTATCATCATCATCATCGTCAAAGCACTCCCATCTGACCTTCCGAATCACAGAGACAGGAGCAAACACTACTCAGGACATTTTATAACTAAGGAAGGCGAGTTCACAAGGAGCTAAGGTTTTGTCCATGGGGTGGGTAGATGTACTGAGAGAAGCCTTTAGCTTCCCTGACCAATAGGCGTCTCCTCTCTGTCAGAGAGCTCGGAAAAACCTCAGCCCATTGTACATTTATTTGTAAGAGATAATTTTCATGTCATTACACTGTCCTCACTACTCTCTGAGAGAAGCTAAACCTTCTCATTGCTGCGATATAAAAAATGTTATGGGAAAAATACAAAGACTTTTATTTGTATTATTGTAAGCTTTTAAAAATGATTTTGCCTGAATAGGCTGTATTCCTCTTTTCTGTCTGATTATTACCATTTTTATTTCCCAGTTGTAAAAATATATGTTTGCCATTTGTCTGAAGAACAATGCAACTCTCTCCAATCCATCACACAGCTCTGCTCTTAGCAATTCTCACAGCTCATCAGGAAAATGATTGCCTGATTAAACAGGCGTGACTAAACCACAACATCCTCAGAATGTGCATGGAGCCCTGGGCCCCGAATGCATCTTACTCCAGCAATGCCAAGCATCGCCTGACGCACAGTGCAAAGAGCAAGACCAAAGGGGAGTTTTCAAAAGAAGGAAATCATGTATTTTATAACCAGCAGCATTTGTAAAAGCTGTTTTCCAAGTAATTATGTGAATTGATTTTGGGAAAGAATATGATTCTTTCAGCCTGATGATTCGACGAAATGAAAACCTTCAGAAAGAGAAAAAAATGATCAGGTAATCTTTCTCCTGACCATGATTCATCCTGTGTTATCTCAGAGCTCCATTGAAATGTTTATTGTGCACATAATGCCCTCTGATAATTTCTTTTAAGACATTCATTGTCAAATGAGCAAAGCAGCAGTCAACAGCTGAGTCTTAAAACCTAGAGTTCAATACTGAGAAGTGGGGTTGAGTTGAATCCTATCTCTGCTACACAGAAAACATCCATACCCCACTCACTGGAACTTCAGATGCAAGCTACTTGTAAGACTCACTTTTTCCATCTGTTAAATGGGAAAAAATAGAAACTGCCTTATGTGGTTAATGTATTGACGTGCAGTTGACCCTGAGAGAGGAGAGGGACTGGAGAGTGAGTTAATAATCATGCTTACATGATGAAGCCTCCCTACAAACCCTTAAACTAAAGGATTAGGAGAGATTCTGGGCCAGTGAGGACATAAAAGAGCTGGGAGAACAGCACTCCTGGAGAGAGCACAAAGCTCCACTCCCCTCCCCTACACCTCACCTTGTGCATCTCTTCCTTCTGGCTGTTCATTTGTATCCTTTGTAATATCCTTTATTATAAACCAGTAAACATAAGTAAACGTTTCCCTGAGTGTTGTGAGCCATTATATTAAATTATCAAACATGAGGAGGTGATTGGAGGAACCTCCAATTTATAGCCAGTGGGTCAGAAGCACAGGTGACAACCTGGGGCTTGTAATTGTCATCTGATGTCAGGGAAAGTCTTATGGAACTCAGCCCTTAACCTGTAGGGCCTGTGCCAACTACAGGCAGTTAATGTTATTTATAATAGAGTAAGTAATAGAACACCCCATCAGTGTCCACCAAGAATTGGAGAATTGGTTGATGCAAAGGAAAAAAACCCACACATTGGTATCAGAAGTTGTATGAGTGTCAAGAAAACAGTATTCTTCTTTTATTGTCAATTCTCTGAACTGTCAATTCACTTTCTCCTTGAACTCCTGCAATCTGATGCCATCAAAGAATTGTCTTATACTCATTTTGCTCAGAACCACTCATACTTTTTGTCACTAACCAACTTACCTTGCTATCTTACTGGTTTTGAACTCTGAGCATTTCTTGTCAGCTGAGCCCTGCTGCTATGTCTGAATGTGCCCCCCAAAATAAATAGCTGGAAACTGAATCCTCAATGCAACAGTGTCAGGGGGAGGGAGCTGTGAGAAGGTGTTTAGGTCATGGGGCGCTCCACCCTCATGAATGGATTAATGCTGCTATAAAAAGGGTTTTGGCAAAAGCAACTGTGGCAAAAACAAAAATTGACAAATAGAATCTAATTAAACTAAAGAGCTTGGACATAACAAAAGAAACAATCAACAAAGTAAACAGACAATCTACAGAATAGAAGAAAATATTTGTAAACTATCCATCCGGGAAAAGTCTAATATCCAGAATCTATAAAAAACCTAAACATATTAACAAGCAAAAACCCAACAAGCCCATTAAAAAATGGGCAAAGGACATGAACAGACACTCCAAAAGAAGATATACATGCAGGCAGGCAATAAACATATGAAAAAAAGTGCTCAATATCACTAATCATTAGAAAAATGCAAATCAAAACCACAATGAGATACCATCTCACACCAGTAAGAATGGCTACTATTAAAAAGTCACACACACGAAAAAACAGATCCTGGCCAGGTGCAGTGGCTCAAGCCTGTAATCCCAGCACTCCAGGAGGCCAAGGCAAGCGCTTCACATGAGCTCATGAGTTCAAGACCAGCCTGGCCAACATTGTGAAACCCCATCTCTACTAAAAACACAAAAATTACCTGGGTGTGGTGGCACAGGCCTGTAGTACCAGCTACTTGGGAGGCTGAGGCAGGAGAATTACTTGAACCTGAGAGACAGAGGTTGCAGTGAGCCAAGATCACACCAGTGCACTCTAGCCTGGGCTACAGAGCAAGACTCTGTCTCAAAGAAAATAAATAAATAAAAAGTAAAAAAATAGATTCTGGCAAGGTTACAGAGAAAAGGGAACACTTATATACTGCTGGTATGAATGTAAATTAGTTCAGCTATTGTGGAAAGCAGTGTGGCAATTTCTCAAAGAACCTAAAACAGAATTACAATTTGACCTAAGTATCCCATTATTGGGCATATTCCCAGAGGAATACAAATCATTCTACCATAAAGACAAATGCATGTGTATGTTCATTGCAGCACTATTCACAATAGCAATGACATGGAATTAACCTAAATGCCCATTAACAGTAGACTGGATAAAGAAAATATACATCATGGAATATAATAAAATAATTAAAAAAATGAAATGATGTCCTTTGCAGCAACATGGTTGGAGCTGGAGGCCATTATTCTAAGTGAACTAATGCAGGAAGAGAAAACCAAATATGGCATGTTCTCACTTATAAGTGGAAGCTAAATGATGAGAACACATGGACACAAAGAAGGGAATAATAGGCACCAGGGGTGGGGCAGAGTGGCTCATGCCTGTAATCCCAACACTTTGGGAGGCCAAGGTGGGCAGATCATCTGAGATCAGGAGTTCAAGACCAGCCTTGCCAACATGGCAAAACCCTGTCTCTACTAAAAATATAAAAATCAGCTGGGCTTGGTGGTGCATGCCTGTAGTACCAGCTACTTGTGGGGCTAAGGCATGAGAATGGCTTGAACCTGGGAGGCAGAGGTTACCGTGAGCTGAGATTGTGCCACTGCACCTCAGCCTGGGTGACAGAGCAAGATCCTGCCCCAGAAAAAAAATAACAATAATAAGTATACACCAGGGCCTACTTGAAGATGGAAGATAAGAGGAAGGAAAGGATTGAAAAACTACCTATCAGGTACTATGCTTATTACCCAGGTGATGAAGTAACTTTTTATCCCAAACCCCATGACATGCAATTTACCTATGTAACAAATTTGCACATGTACCCCTGAACCTAAACTAAAAGTAAAAATAAAAAGAAAGAAAAAAAAAGAAATCACACTTAAAAAAGAGGGCTGCTTTAGGGAGTGGGTTCGCTCTTCCACTCTCTGCCATGTGAAGATAGACTTCCTCTCCTGCTTTTCCACCTTCCACCATGTGATGACACTAAGAAGGCCCAAACAAGATGCTAGCAACTTGATCTTGGATTTCCCAGCCTCCAGAACTGTAAAAATACATTTCTGCTCTTTATAAACTACCTAGCCTGTGGTATTCTGCTATAGGAGCACCAAACAGATTAAAACACCTGCCTTAAAAAATATTTGTTATTTATTTATCCTTGTTGATATCTAGTGCATTATGTTGCCAAAACTAAAGTCAAAATTAAGTCAGATAAGAAATTAAAATGTCTCTACTAATGACCCATATGCTTTCTGATCTTACTTCTATTTCTCCACATTTCTCCAAAACCAGAAAGTCTCCTGACTGGCCCCATGGTCACTCAGGATCACTTTATTCTCAGAATCCAAACCTCTTCCCTGCCTAGAATTTCTGCCTTCTTTCCTTCTGCCTAGCCCAGGGTTTCTCACCCTCAGCGCTACTGATATTTTTGCAGGATAATTCTTTGTTGAGTGAGAGGAAGCTGTCCTGTGCATTACAGGAAGTTGAGTAGTGTCCCTGGCCTCTACCCAGTGCATTCCAGCAGCGCCCTTCCTAATTGTGGCAAATATAAATGTCTCCAGAAACTGCCAAGTAGCCCCTGGAGGATAAAATGGCCCTTGGTTGAGAGCCACAGTATCAATGTGCAATATTATCAATAATATAATAATAATCAATATTAATAATAATTAATGTGCAATATATTCTAAGAGGTCAAATGGTACAATTTAGCACTGCTGCTCTGCATACATTACTGTCCTGTTATTCCATGTTTTTAAAATTTTACTTCACAATCATTTTGTTTCTTAACTCAACTACGGTAGCATAAGGCACAGAGCAGGGGCTCAATAATATTTATGTGCTGTGCCCAAAGGGAGTAGTTGTTTGGTTAAAATTAAATCTGCTGGCCGGGTGCAGTGGCTCATGCCTGCAATCCCAACACTTTAGGAGGCCAAGGTGGGCAGATCACCTGAGGCCAGAAGTTCGAAACAAGACTGGCCAACATGGCAAAACCCCATCTCTACTAAAAATACAAAAATTAGCTGGATGTGGTGACACATACCTGTAATCCAGCTACTCAGGAGGGTGAGGCAGGAGAATCCCTTGAACCCAGGAGACAGAGGTTACAGTGAGCTGAGATCACTCCATTGCACTCCAGCCTGGGTGACAGCAAGACTCCATCTCAAAAAAAACAAACCTAAATCTGCTAAGTGACCATATCCTACAGTGAGCTTTAAACTACCAATTTTAATAATTTAATGATTCTAAAATTGCAAATTAATAAATTATATTGGATCCACTTGAGAAACTATGATTTGGCTGGCTTTTAGACTTTAATCAAACTTTAAATAGCATTCCAAAGTGTTAGAAATATTTCTGCTCTTTTTTGCAAAGAAGACAAATTGACTGATGAAAATCAGTGGTTTTAGGTCACTCAGGAGTAATCAAGAGATATTTGAATAAACATCATTAAATGACAACACATAACATGTGATTAAGATATAATGATTATCAGTAATCATAAGGGTGAATAAATGGTTTTAAAATGTCAATTTATGACATTCAGTTATAGTGTAAGAACAATCTTTTCATGCATTCTCTGTTTGTATCTATATTTACACTGGCAATATAAATTTAACATTAGATAATTCTTGAAATATGTTAATATTTAAACAGACAATTATGCCTATCAATGTTTTCATTTAAACTAAATCACACTTTTTGAAACATTGCTGAATATGTGATTATACTTCTCTTTTACTTTTGTTCATAAAATAGAGGACATTATTCCTTAGCACTAGATTTGAAGTATTTGCGTTAGTCTCAAATATTTCCAATACTTCTCATCGTTTTAAAAAGGTACCTTCTCAGTACTGATCTCGCAAATGTTAGCAGGTTTTTGAGGCATTTGAATTGCAAGGGCTTACATCTTAGTGTAAATCCATCATGGCTAAATTCTTTCTTCTTCTTCAAGTGTCCACACAATATCCAGCATCCTGATGAAAAGTAAAAATGTTGATCAGTTCCACGTATCTACATGTTTGGTAGACAAAACATGACTGCCAGAAGTTTTCCTTCTCCCTTTGACTCGATGCTGCAGTGTCACACTGATACAGCAAAGGAAAAAGATGGTGTTCTGGGAGAGGAGAAAAAGGAAGCTAGTCTTATTTGTTGAGACATCTTGTGGTTATGTGAGCACCAAAGAAAAAGAGACATCCTTTACACAGTTCTATCACCAAAGGAAGAATTCAAGGTGGTATTTCCTTTTTGGTGTCCAATGACTGACTTACTCACACACCTCTCTTATCCCAGGCCACCACTATGCTCTGATAAATTATCTGCATTGGGTTTTGGCCTTTCTTTTGTTTTGAGCCTGTTTTCCTACGTCCGTGTTTGAAATGAGTCCTAGAATCCCATCAGCAAGTCTAGTTTGGATGAGATCTGTCCTAGCTGTCCTTCCAAAAGTTGAAATTCATGAGCATTCCTTGATCTGTGTGTGTCTGATTTGTATTTTAGGCTGGTGCAAAAGTAATTGTGGTTTTTGCCATTACTTTTAATAGGGTTTAGAAATCATTTAAGATCCTTCAAACCCTTTGTTCTGGGGACCAAGATAGACTCAGCATCTAACCAACAAAGTTGTTCTAGATTTCTGCTTTCCTAGGGAGCTGCTCAAGAAAATTAGGAAGGGCCAATCTCTGCCTGATAGTCAACAGGACCTAGGGTGGAATCAGGGAAGCAGGGTCAGATTGAAAGTAGACAACAGAGCCCAACCTCACATACAGGTACCTGTTCTGACTCACCCAGTACTCAGTGTGTAGTTCACGACAACATGAATGCCTGCTTATAGCTGTAAAAATAAGAGAGAACATGGGTAAATAGCTGATTGGTATCTGTAGTTAGTTTGCAAGCAGCAAAAGTAAGCTGGTAGAGGGAAAACAGAAAAAGTAGACATTCTCACAACTGGACTCAAAATGATTTGTTTGTTTGTTTGTTTTTTGAGACAGAGTCTTACTCTGTCGCCAGGCGCCAGGCTGGAGTGCAATGGCGCGATCTCGGCTCACTGCAATCTCCGCCTCCTGGGTTCAAGCAATTCTCCTGCCTCAGCCTCCCAAGTAGATGGGACTACAGGCACGCATCACCACGCCCAGCTAATTTTTGCATTTTTAATAAAGACAGGTTTCACCATGTCAGTCAGGTCGATCTCTTGACCTCATGATCCGCCCACCTAGGTCTCCCAAAGTGCTGGGATTACAGGCGTGAGCCACCACGCCCAGCCAATGATTTTGTTTTAATTTGCAATAAGTTCCTTTAAAGATTTTACATAGGTAAGTAGATAGCTAGATAAATTGATAGATTACATAGATAAATAGACAGATTGGATGGATGGATGGATGGATGGATGGATGGATGGATGGATGATCAAGAGAGAGACTAATTTGCAACCTCTGAAGAACCAAACCATTCTGGTCTTCCTAATGCTGTCTTCCTCACCTGAAATGCACCCCCTTCACCCTTCCTACCTGCTCAGAGCCCATTCATCATTTAAGTCCTGGACTGATGAGCAAAGAGGAAGAACATAGTGACAACTCAGAAATAAGATTAAGTATCAGTACTTCTTTTAAATTACATAATTTCACTAAATAAACTCCTGCTGCTCCTCTATGGCTGTTATATGTCATTTTAAGCTATCTTTGACCTGGCCCACTCCATGATATCTTCCTTTCCATGCCATCCTCTACCCAAGACAACCCTTCCAACCAGGGTTGGTGATCACCTTGCTACAACATCCACCACCCTCACGTGCAAATGGGTATCTCCAACAAAGGTATCACTGCATGGCTGCTAGGGTGGTGAAGAAAACACAGTTTTGAAGCCAGAATACCCCAGTTTTGGACATTAGCTTCTTTGTTTACCAACTCAGTGACTTCAGGCACATTATTTAATCTTTCAGGATCTCAAGTTCCTTAGATATAAAACATGAACCACAATAATAATTCCTACTTCATGGGGATGATGTGAGGCTTGAATGAGATCATTTATTTGAGCATCATACTTCGAAGTGTCAACCACTGTGAAGGGTCTGAAATTTTTGCAAACAAGCTAGCTTGCCTCAGATTCAGGGTTGCTGGCAGAAGACACGAAACTCCTGAGTCAGAGACAAATGACTCTACTACTCACAGTGGTATCAGCAGCTAGAGTATCATCAGTTAAGCCTATTCCCCAATCTCCAATTGACAAGAGGAAATGCAAAGGCCAATGTGACCCCTGCATACACAGTGCATTACATTATAGGAGAGAGAACTTGAGTATTTTATAACAGGCAGTACACCTGCCTGGTCTCTGCCCTAGAGAGAAACATTATCTCTATAATACTGCAGGGTAAGCAAACGAATCTGCTGCATGCTCTAGACAGAGACACTATCTCATCTCCCAAACTGTAATGGACATAAACACCCTTGAAAAGAGAGGCTGGAATAAAATGGAACATACTGAAACACAGAAAACCCTTGGAGAGTTATTAATATTTCCCAGTAAGAAATCAGCAGATCTCCACTCATTTTCCTTTCCTTGCTCTTGCCATTTCTCCTGCATGGAATTTTCTCTTTCTTCCCTTCACAGATCCAAAGTCTTTGCTTCAGTCTTCCTCAGACATTCGCCATGGTGGGACAAGAGGATCTGGTGCAGTAGGAGATTCAGTAAGACTCGACAAACTGGGAGTACACTGAGAAAATCACCAGCAGCATCAAGAAAATTGCAGACTTTCTCAACTCATTTGATATGTCTTGTTCAAGATTTGCAACACTAAGGGAGAAATTGACAGCCCTTGAACAGAGAACAGAGTACAATTGAAACATGGGTGATAAAAGGTGAGATGCTTACCTAGAACAGTGCCATGCTGTGCTGGGAAGGTGCTTTACAGAACACAGGCCACCTGAGAAAGGCCCCAGCAGCCTTTAGCTCCTTCCTTTCTCCTTAAAGAGCAACAGGGCTTATTGCTGTTTTTCTTTTTTCAAAAGTGTGGCCTTTGGGTTCTTTCATATACATCTGAGGATGCGATGTGGTATGTGAGGAGAAGTCTAGAGGAACTCTTGGAAACAACATTCGGTATTTTTCCTTTCCAGTAACGTTTCATAGATATACATATACATAGTCAATGTATTTGAGACATTCACAGTCAAAAGCATGGGACCCTTTGTGAAGGTCCTGCCCACCCCTGTCTTTCCTTTCTCTCTCAGACCTTCTTTAAAGTTCTCATTGCTTCTGTACCACTTCTATGAACAGTCTTTTTCTCCTCCACACCTTGGGTGGGAAGTGGGGGGAAGTCCTAGCTAAGACACTCGTGCCCTGGCAATGTGACTACCAGAGAATGTTATTGCTAACCCACCAGTTTCCTATCAATTTGGGGAGGTCAAGGCCAGGCCCCCACTAGGCTTGAAGGAACATTTTCAGTTGTTTCTTTCTGTCACTTGGGGTGTCTATGCCTCTCAAATTTTCCTAATAAACTCTTCAACTTTATCTGATTGCTGTGATTATAGTAGAAATAGGACCTAGAGAGGGGTTCACTTATTCCACAGAAATGTAATATATGGAATTATTATTCCAACCAAACTTTCATATGTAGCTGTTTGATTCAAAGCCCAGGTGACTTACCAGCCCAATCCCCCATGTTTGGACTTTCAGCTGATTAGTTCATCCTGGGAGTCATTTGGTCATTCAGCACATTTATCAAGTGCTTACTATGTAGGCATGTTATACTCCAATAAAATATACAGTATTGAATCAGAAAAAAAGTCTTTCTCTCATTCAAAGCACAAGTCAAATGTCCCTTCCTTGAGGAGCTTTTTCCAAACACTCCAGTCATTATAAATCCATTTGCAGAGCTCCTACTTCCATTTGTAGTTTGTCTTATAAAAACGAGTCATTCTTTGACTTGTTCAACACTTCTCCTACTTTTAAAAAACTTTAAATTGAGGGCTGTATTATAAGGGGTTGCAGTAGATGCTAGTTGTGTCCCATCTGTAGCCCCTTAGCCTATGAGTAGCTAGCTAACTGCCTGACTTGTCATCACCTGAGGGTTGTGCACTGTTTCTATGAACAGTCTTTTGTCTCCTCCACACCTTTGGTGGGAAATGGGGGCAGTCCTGGCCAAGACACCAGTCTTGGCAATGTGACTATCAGAGAACATTGTTGCTAACCCACCAGTTTCCTGTTGATTTAGGGAGGTCAAGCCCAGGACCCCACTAGGCTTGAAGGAACATTTTCAGTGACTGGAATGTGCACCTGCAGGCCGGAAGAGCTAGGGAATTAAGCTCCACCCCCCAGCAGCCTTCAACCAATGGCAGATGGAAGCTGGTGTATCAATGCCCTAGTTCCTTTGCTCTTTGGGTAGGTGCATGCTCTACCCTGATTTCTAGAGTTCCTGTGGGGCCATAAGCTCCATTTACCCTAAGTGGAAACTGCTTAATGACAGACCCTTTGGTGGGTGCCCTCTCCTTCCTGTCTTGTTTTCCCCCTTGCCACCCAGTAGTTTCTGAGAAGACCAGCTCTCCCAAAACCTAGTTGCACTAAATTTCGATCTCAGGATCTTTTTTCAGGAAAATGCAAACCGAAAAAAGTACCAACAAAAGATTATCGTGGACTACACTGTGAAATTATTAAATACTTGTTAACATACAGCTTTTACTCAAAATCACTATCATATAAATTATGAGGCATTAGGTCTAATTCCATCATAAATATTTGAAAACCATTCCTTGTGTTCCCAAAGAATAAATAATCATGATAGTACAGTTATACTATCACTGAAGTAATGTTTGGAGCTAAATTAATCTGTGTGAAGGCAACAAAAATATCAGCAGCCAAGGAGGCGCATTTGGCCCCAGAGTGTGTCAGAAATGCTGCTTGGCATCTGAGAATGACTTAGAAGTGCCCTTCTAGCAGTCCTGTGTGGGATGGAATGTGACTAAAGGGACTTTGAGAATATACATAGGACACTCAAGTGCTACAGGGAAGGTAGCAAAGGTCAACTGCTTCTTTTTCGAGGACTTTACTTGCTCTCCCTCCATCCCAACATATACCCTGAGCTTTTGATAACATGACATTCCGATGGGGAACTGCCCCCAGACCTGTCATTGTGGCATTATTTGTAGCTTTTTTCTTCCTAGTAGTGAAAAGTGGATAGCTGGCTTTTCAGGTCACAAGTTGTGCTGTCATCCATGCTTGCAGCAGGAGTAACAGGGGCAAATTAACTGGGGTACATACGTACGCCCTAAGGTGAGAGGAGTTGTGGCTCTGGGGGAATTTAGGATGGGGCTCCTTTCCTGAAGTGATTGGAGCAACTCTAAAGGGAAACACAGTATCAAACATTTTAAAGGCACGATGATAAGGCAACAAAAACACCTCCCGCCAGGATTCTGCCCAGAATTCTGTCATGTTTCCCCATCATGACTGGATTGACACCAGGTTACTAGGCTATTTCTATCATCAAATACAACATAGAATCTATTCACTGAACAGGGAATGGAAGATAGCCTATGGATCCTTTCCCCACCATTGCCCTGCAACTCACAGGGATGCATGCTACTTGGCCACTGTAACCCGTCAAGAAGAGCTGCAGGAGGGGGCTTTGGCAGAGAAGCCAACGGTTTTGCCCTGCTCTCTTACTGAATGCACTAAAGCCACTCTTGCTATAATTCGTCCCCAAAGAGAAACTAAAGTAATAGGAAAGTGGACACTTCCTTGCTAAGACCCTAGGGATCTCTACTAAACTCCAGTGTTACTAAGCTCCAGAAAGGATACGACCTTGCTCTTTCAAAGGCGATCTGTCTCTGACATATTATCTAGGAGTTGTTTCTTTGATGTCTCCTGTATTCTTTACTCTGTTCCATCTACCAAATGCATGCACACATGCACAAACCACACATACTTTATCTAAGAAAAGGCAGTTTTGAGGGATTTTTTTATCCTAAAAGTATTGACCTTTTTCAAGTTCACCTATAAAAATCAAGCAACCTAGTGTCGGTTTATCTAAAAAGACATAGAAAACCATAGGAAAATAAATCAGTGGACCTAAAATACTATTACTATTACCATAAGGAATGTGAAATTTTAAAATAGGTAAATTCAAACGTGACCCATAAATCACGGTCCACAGTATACAAAACCAAAACCCTTCACACTGTGGATACTGGTCCAGGACAGGTGCACTCAAAGAGATTTGAGAAGAGTAAAGATGCCTAGGACATAGGAAAGCTACAAAGAAAGAGATCATTCTGCAGATGAAGCTAGCTGGAGAAAATTATAATTGCATTTAACAAGAATGTGGGTGTACTCTGCAAATAGTTACTATATTAAGGAATTTCAAAGGTAAAGAGTAATTAAATATCAGCTTGAGTCTCATATCTGAGCTCAATCAAGAGGGAAAAAAATGTCCCCCAATCTCAGAACAGGATTTGCCTGAGAGGAAAACGCATCCCACTCTGAAGGAAAAATGTTCCCTTCTGCCATTACCATTCCCCAGTGGCAGAACTGAGTTTGAGGTTTGGAAGTCCTCATATCCAGCAGAAAGCCACTATAGGATGGCCTTGCACTGGCCCTCGGGACTCCTAGGTGTGTAAGAGTGCGTGGAGGAGAGGATGGATGGGGAGAGGCTAGTAGACCCCATGCAAACCACCCAAAGTCTCCTGTATTCCAGGAAGAAAGCTTTCTCCCAACTCCATCCTGCACATGGTGATGTTAGCCTCTATTGCGCTTTCAGGATAAGGCAAATCATGCCTGTACCCAAATGACCTCCATTTTTCTCCTTCACTCTAAAACTGGCACTGATGAGCTACTATTTGACTTAGCGGTGTAGCAGAGTTCCCAGCCAACTGCTTCAACCATCCCATCCATGTGGGTCTCTGTGGTCACTATTGGCTGATGTTCCCCAAGGCTATTTCCTCTCCTTTCTGGGGCCACAGGTGGATTATGTTTCCCAGCCTCTCTTGCAGTCTCCTGGGGCTGTGTCAAAAGAACAATAGTACAAGAGAAAGGTCAATGTGGAAGAGAAAGCACCAGTGGATGGTTAAATGTTTGCTATTCTGAGCTTTACTGGCACCACAAGAAAAGAGTGTTCTTTGGATGAAAATTTCAAGAGACATAAGAGGACTAAGCTTCACACAAGCTCATGTCAAATTCCAGTCCTGCCCCTGGCCACTCAAAGGACATTGGGCATATCACACTTTCTCATCATAAACATAAGGGAATTTCACTGGATGGGCTCCAAGTTTTATCCCAACATCGATATGCCATGATGTATCTGTGGCTTGGTTATTCCTCCCAGCCGCTAGCACATGGTTGCTATTTACTCTCCTAATAATTCAACCTCAATTGGATTTTGCAGCACAATTTCACAGCACCACATCTTTTCCAAGGTGCATCTGTATACATTGCCTTGCTTCCCATCCAACAGCTCTGTAAAATAAGAAACAGAGGAAGCTGGCACCCCATTTAGAGATGGGGAAGCTAATGTGGTAAAACCGCCAACCTACTCAGAATTATAAAACATTAGAGGCAGACCTGCAGTTAGAACTCCACTCTCCTGACTACTGGTTTTCTTCTCATTCCTTTTCACTATGTCATATTCAGTTCCTGCAAAAAAAAGAAATGGTCACTAATGTTGCCTTATTAAATTAGTTCTTAAGCATTAATAATCAGTGGCACTGCAATTTATTCTATTCTCACTGTAAACATGTAAAATGATGCAAATGAAAAAAAAAAAAGACTTAAACTCCCAAAAATATGCTCCCGAAAACTTTCTGAGGAACATAATTTAAATCATTTAGACAAAGCTTGCATTTACATGTATTATTCATAGAAGAGCTGGAGATGATGAAAGGTTGGGGTGTGATACAGGTCCCAACCAAAGTGCCATTTTTTTTTCTACAAAAGAACAAAGTTCTTCATTTGGAAACATCAAAATAAACATATGTGAATCATCTCTCACATACTTCCAAGCCAATGGGCACGTCACTGGGTTAGGCAAGGCATGCAGTAATTTTCTATGGTAAATTACAAACCAAGAGCTTTGACTGATGTCTTCTTTTTAACCAGTTATTAAGAAAACATCTTTGCACACTCATTAGGAAAGCTATAATAAAAAAGACAGTAATAAATGTTGGTGAGGATGTGGAGAAATTGGGACCCTAATAGATTGCTGCTGGTAGGAATATAAAATGGCGCAGCTGCTTTGGAAAAGTCTGGCAGCTCCTCAAAAAGTTAAACATACAGTTACCATGGAACCCAAGTATCCCACTCCTAGATGTATACCCAGGAGAAATGAAAGCATATGTCCACACAAAACCTGTACACAAATGTTCATAGCAGCATTATTCATAATAGCCAAGAAGTGGAAACAGCCCAAATGTCCATGAACTGATGAATGAATAAACAAAATGTGGTCTAGCATACAGTCGAATATTATTTATTGATAAAAAGAAGTGACATTCTGATCCATGCCACAGCCTGGGAGAACCTCGAAAACACGATGCTCAGTGAAAGAAGCCAGACACAGAAGACCACATATTATATGATTCCATTTCGAGGAGAGGGGCAGAATAAGTAAATTCAGAGACAGAAAATAAGTTAGTGGTTGCCAGGGTTGGGAAAAGGGAGGAATGAGAGGTCATGGCTAATCAGCATGGGGTTTCTTTTTGGGGTGAGGAAGATATTCTGGAACTAGATTATGATCATGGTCATGCATCTCTGTAAATAATAAAGGTCAAATGCTTAGCACAATACCCAGCGCATGTTTGGCATTATAAGAGATAACACAATAGTAACTTTATTACAACAGTAACATAGTAATAACATTATTTTGATAATTTTATTGGCCGGGCATGGTGGGTCATGCCTGTAATCCAAGCACTTTGGAGGCCAAGGCGGGTGGATCACCTGAGGTCGAGAGTTCAAGACCAGCCTGACCAACATGGTGAAACCCTGTCTTAAAAAAATAATAATAATAATAATTTTATTATAATTGCAGCTGTGAATAATCTCATGACCTTCAAGCATGAACAAAAAACTCTTTTCCTGGTTTCTTTTCATTCAGATCAACCAAGTAGGGCCCACAGGCCAAATATGATCCCATGCCTGTTTTTATAGATGAAGTTTTATTGGCACTCATTCATACCTATTGGCTACATACTGCTTATGGCTGCTCCAGTGCCACAAATGCATCATTAAATAGTTTCAGCAAAGACAAATGCTTGAGGTGATGGATATCCCAATAACTCTGATATGATTATGACACAGCTTATGCTTGTACCAAAATATCACATGTGCCTCATGAATATATGCAATTCATATTTATCCATAATAATTCAATATAAGCCGGGCGCGGTGGCTCAAGCCCGTAATCCCAGCACTTTGGGAGGCCAAGCTGGGTAGATCACGAGGTCAAGTGATCGAGACCATCCTGGTCAACATGGTGAAACCCCGTCTCTACTCAAAATACAAAAAATTAGCTGGGCATGGTGGCGCGTGCCTGTAATCCCAGCCACATGGGAGGCTGAGGCAGGAGAATCTCTTGAACCCAGGAGGCAGAGGTTGCGGTGAGCTGAGATTGCGCCATTGCACTCCAGCCTGGGTAACAAGAGCAAAACTCCGTCTCCAAAAATAATAATAATAATAATTCAATATAAAATATTTTAAGCCTAAATACTATCTGGACCTATACAGAGTCATTTTGCTGATCACTCTGTTCTAGGATAGTCAGAATATTATCATTTTCTTCCTGAGAGAGAACATATTACAATCCTTCGAGAAAAGCCAAGAAACTAACACATTAGCTGAGACAGGGCATGGCTAGCACTCACTGGGACTTGTGGGGCTGGGCTTTACTTCTGCCTGTTCCTTCTCCTCCATGCCCCTGCCCTTCCTCAGACACCATTGTCAGATATGCTCCCTCTTGGCCTGATAAGCAGGTGTTGGAAGCACAGGAAGCCTCCGTGTAGGCTAACAACACTATCGAGTCTTGACTCTCCTAACTCATGTGAACAGTTAGGGTTTAAAAAACAATGTTGTTGGGGTACTATGATCTGTCCCAGAATGCTAGCCATGGCTATTTGATGTCAACCTGCATTCCAACTCCTACTGCTCTAAAAACGAAGTCAGTGTTCCATCAGTCCACATGAGTTAGAAGAGTAAAGCCTCAACAGCACCGTTAGCCTACTCAGAGCCTTCCTTGATTGTCTGTTACCCCGAGTGTCCATGTCAGAAGCTGTTTTCCAAAAGCAATTTTCATGTGGCCCATGTCAGGGTTGTCACCTACCACCATAGAATGTTTCACTCTACTAACATACTGTGGGAATTGACGCCTGTGTTTAAGTTGACTAGGGGTTTTTTGTTTGTTGGTTGGTTGGTTGGTTTAATGAAGAAGAAGAAGAAGAAGGAAGAGGACAGGAAAGATGGAAGAGAAAAGGAACAGTGAGAAGGGAGGAAAGTAGGAATGGAGAAAGGAGAGAATCAGCGAGATTATTTCTTTACGTGTCTGTTGCCCTTTCTCTCATGGGGCTACCACTGCCTGCCCAGTGAGATGTGCCACACTGTGTGTGAGAGAGGAGCATTGAGACAAATGCATGTAAACTTTCTTAAAGAAACAAAAAGCAGGCACAGAAGAACAGAAGCTTTTTTGCCTTTTCCAAGGAACCAGACAATAACTCCAGACTAGTACATTGAAATCAAAGATGACTGTAGCTTCAAAGCTTCCTGGGAAGATCAAAGGCGAAGCGTGATGAAGGCAGGCAGGATCTCTGAGGGCAGGAGGAGGGGCCCTCTTGGCCCTTGTGGAGCTCCGTTTCAACAAACCAGAATCTCTCGTAAGTCAGTTCCCACGTTTAAAATCAGCCCTGAGCCTCGTACAAGGGAGCTTTAGGGAAAGCTTCTTCACAGAAACAAAAATGAGACATCTTAGCAATAACACAGAAATCAAACTCTCCTGGCAGAAAGCTTCCAGGCCAACTCCTTGTCCTAACTCCCTAAAAAGATTTTCTTGTCTCACAGTTTTTTTTTCATACTGAGTCTCGCTCTGTCACCCAGTCTGGAGTGCAGTGACACGATCATGGCTCACTGCAACCTCCATCTCCTGGGTTCAAGAGATTCTCCTGCCTCGGCCTCCCATGTGGCTGGGACCACAGGTGCATGCCACCAAGCCAGGCTAATTTTTGCATTTTTAGTAGAGACGGGGTTTCACTATGTTGGCCAGGCTAGTCTCAAATTTTTGGTCTCAAGTGATCCAGCTTGCCTCGGCCTCCCAAAGTGCTGGGATTACAGGCATGAGGCACTGTCCCTGGCCACCTCACATACTTGAAACTCAATTTTAATTGATTGCCTAAGAGTCCAATAATATATTCAGTTAGATGACAGTGCAACCATTTTAAACTCAATATATTTACCCCAGTTGCATTTTAAGACAGGACTTTGCTGCAACCTCCCCAAGTGCCGGAAAGAAGAATAAATATTAGCCTCACGTAGCTTAAATTCTTAGAATTTGACAACTGATTTCAGTATAATTGGTCAGAAATTGCCTCTACCTCTTTCTGCTGCTATTATAAAATATTTCTCCCTTTAACTCATGTTTGCCAGAACACCTGTGCTGTGTAATTGCAGAGATATTCCTATAATATCCGAGTGTGGAGGTGGAATGGATTCCACATAATTAGTTGAACATAATTGAGCAATAATATGTAGTTATGGAGGAAATTTATTGGGCCTTGTACAAAGGAAAATTTCGAGAGCAGTGGTGTGTTGATCCCAAAGTAATTGTGCAAAGCGTCACCTACAGTACCGACTCTGTCTTTTCTGCTTCAGAAACATCATTAACACACCTACCTCTGCAGCAGCATCCTTGACACTGACCTTCTCTTTCTGCAGAGTGGCCGATTTCAGAGTGGTCATAAGGGAACAAATCAGTAACTCTCAAGAACACAGGATGGTCTCTGGCACATAATATAGGCATCCAATAAAAAGTTGATTTGAAAATTGCTTGTTAAAAAACTCACTGAAGCTGTTCTTTCATAGAGAAAACACAAGATACACATATTTCTAACATAACTATCTCCTTATCTGGATTTTTCCTGTATGTAAAATAGCTGCTTCCCACTGCCTTAGGGACTATACAACTATATGCTCTTAAAAATAGCTCCAGATAGTTGAGCAGTGCTTTCCAGCTGAAGAGAAAACATCATTATTAAAACCTAGGTCCAGATTCCGACGTCTATAAATGTTTTTCCAGTTATTTCCTATGCCTTGATTCCTGCAGAAACCACAAGCCTAAGGCAACAGATGCACACACACATGTGCACACACACTCATGCTGTAAATACAAAAAGCCAAAACCACTTTATAAGGTGTTTTTACTTGTTAATATCTTGAATCTTATCAAATTACATCATGCCTTCCATTTCTTCCACACCTAAATGTCACCTACATCTATCTTTTGTCCGATTTGAAAAGATTGTGGAGGAAATTTACAAATCTATAAATAAGCAAATAAGGCTATATATAAGTGTTTCTTATTTTATTGGTTGATTGTATACTGCTACACCCAAGCGATTTCTATTCAGTACACCCAAGATGCCTAAAGCATTAAC